ATGAGATTCCAAGACACAGTTCAGCTCACTTGGATCGGCGTTCGTAGTTCTACTGATCGAGACTGTTTTTCAAAGATGTCTCCTGCCTGTATACGCGAAGTGGACTGTCTTTATAAAGTATCTTCTTATTAAACTGTCTGGACTCTGACAAAGTTCTCAATGCTTCGGTTTGCATGTAGGGACCCTCATTACGCTACCGTGTTAGTGTGGGGCTATTTTGAGCCTTGTTAGTGGTATTAACTAGCGATTTCTTTACCATTACTCTATGCCCTATATACTAGCGTTATAGGCTAAACAGGTTTTAGAGATAATACTCTTTACATTCGATAATCATGAAAACAAATCTCAGAGAACGGTTGACTAGGTAACAATGTGTAATTAGACCAAAGGTTCATTTTGCGCCGGAGTTCTCCTTTAAAGCAGGCTATATTTGACCCTATGGTAAATTCAAGCCAGGGTTGCCAGGTCCGCGTTTTTTCCCTATTACATTATTTGTAGCACGCCTCCCAAGGGGGCGATATGACCAAATTCTTCTTTCACGATATGAGATGTATATCACGATTTAGTTATTTTATCTAATTTCTTTTATTAAAAGTAAGAAAAAAGAAGCAAATTACAAACATATTTCATCTCTCTAAAGTGTAAATAGTGCTATATATTTACATACCACCGTGATATCCACGATATAGCAAAATCTTTAACGATAGACATTTTATACCATGGTAACAATATATATCGTCATACCGCCAAGCCTAATGCCTTCTATCCAATAATCACCAAGTGCTTTGTGCTCTTGAAACAAAGTCTCAGCTTTCAAATTCTTTCCATTTTATCACAAAATTCGAAAGTTTTGACGCTCTTAAATGTGACAAGACAGATCGCTGTAGCGCCTCAGTTCAAGCGGCAGTGTGGCACGTGAGTCTTTTCTTCCACTTTAATAGGAGTCATAGCACGGAAAAACATGCAAAAAATATCAACAGGTACAACTTACCAAAATGTATCATGTCTCATGTAATCGCTCAATCTGTGTTTCAACCGCAGAAAGAAGTCACTAGAACAGTTTGTGAACAATGTCACTTAATGTTGCATTTGTCTCAGTAAAGTTATTCCGATGTTTACAGTTGATTAGTTAGCTAGAGAGGAGGTTGTTTACTGTTAATCATATATGTATGTTTGAACAAATTTGTCATATGAACAATCAGATATCACTATCGGCGGAGAAATTTAGTATTGGCGTATCTCTTTATTTATTGATTAAAACTATGCATAATAATAAAATAATTTTATAATTTTTTTAATTAAATTATTTTAGACTGATTTAGGATGTCCACTTTGTAAAAGTATTTCATTATATCTACCATAAACTCTGGCTCCTGCGATTATGCAGGCCAGGTGTTGGTGCTCCTGTGGTCGGTGATCTGGATGGGCAGTATAACCATGACAGCAGGAAAAACTTCTTGGAATGGTCACTGCCCGTTATCGATGAGAAGAACAAGAGTGGTAGCCTGGAGTTCAGTATAGACGGAAAACCCAACGACTTCTTCCCAATCAACGTTTCTTTTGTCTCCAAGCGTAACTTTTGCGACATTCAGGCAAGTTATGCTGGTTTATCTATGAAACAATGCAACAAAAATTAGTCCTAGTGAGAAGGGAAATGACTACATATCGATTGTTTCCACAGGTGGCCAAGGTGACATACGTAGAAGGAGGCAGTCCAGTCAAATTCTCCTTAGAGACATCATTTGTAGTGGATAAGTATGAGATCCTGTAAATGTTTCCTGGATGAGGATCGTTTTAACCTGCCAGCCAGCTTAACGGATCAGAGAGCGTGCTGTACGTTAACAGAGCGCTCAAAACATTCTCTGACATGGGCTGCAGTACCTCTGTGTTTGTTTGTCTTAAAGGAAAATAATCTACTTTTATATAAACTGGACTTTCAGCTGCTCAGTACTAAGTGCAGTCAGACATGCCTGCCAGGAAAGACAAAAGAGAGTAAAATACAGCACTGCACCTGAAGACATCAAGGGAAGATCAGTGTCATCCTACAGCAGATGTATTATAAGTCCATATGAACCCTCCTGGCCCTTCAAAGAAATAGAATGAAATTGGAAAATGATATACTTGTCGCATAGGTTTTGTATAGAATTGCGATTATAATTGACTTTTCTTTTTTCAAACCACGTGATCTGCCCGTTAGCAATATGGATTTATTTTTAATTATCAAGGTTTTCTAATATGGAAACAGACCTAATATTGTAAGACCCCAACAAATATGTGGGTGATGATCAGATCAGCTGTGCTTGTGCAATTAGAACTGACACTGCATTAAATGTGCATACTCCAAATTCACACAATTCATCTCTTTAAAATGGCATTGATTTAACTGTCTACATCAACACAAAGCGCAAACGCTATTTGCCTTTTAGTATCTTCCCTTTTTTTTTGTTCTATTTATGTAATCATTAGTTTGAATATTAATCTTAAATAGGAAGATTTTTCATTCTCGGTTGTTTTGTAAGTAATGTTACACATAATCTGTTTAAATCTTTCAGGCTTTTTATTCATTGCTGCATTTATTTGGCTAAACAGGAAAATATATTCTCCCTGGCTTCCCAGATGTTATTAAGAACGGATTTATTTTTTTGTATTTCCATAATGTAAAATACATTTATCAGCGCACACTCAAAGATGATTACGGAACGCCACGGGGAGGGTTACGACATTCCATTCTGCTGTAAGATACTCATGAATACCTTTAATCAATAATAAAATCAAATTTAAATTAAAGTGTATTTTCTGAGCTCTTCCTGCCTCAATATGTGTTTTTACCTAAGATTTTGAATACTGTGGATGGTATGTGTATTGGTGGTTCATGCTAAGACAGGCTTCACTATTGCTTATGCTTAGAGTTAGGCTTTGTTTAAATCCCTAACCCTTTGTATGAAATTTAAATCAACCCGCACCAGACATGAATTATGCCTCAAATCATGTGACTAGTTGAGTAGTGGTGTGTTTAAGCACCTAGAACACCCCAGCAACCGAATAGCAACAAACAATTGTTTTGGTGTAAGATTTGTGAGTATTATTTGTAATGATAAATTGACTGCCCTGCCCTTGTTTGGTGGACTTCATTAGCTAGTGTACTGGGAGTTTGTTCTGGATTATACAAGCATGTGAGGAATCTCAGAGACAAGGCAATGGTATTCAGACTTGATAATGCATTAGGTATGCTTGAGTAGAGGAGATTCCTGCCAATGAATCACTTCCTCAGCCAATTACTAAGAGAAATCATTTGCTCTGACATGGCTTTTTGAAATACTTGACTCTGACTAATATTTTTGTATAATGATGCTAAACTGTATATTTTACTTTGTGCTTTGAGAGACTTAAAACTTCATAGATATGTAGTCATTGAGCCCCTAAAGTGACACGATGATGGACAAAAATATGAGATGGGAGGAACATTTTTATGTCAAAGCTTTTGCGTTCTCTCACAAATATTTTGCGTTCTCCAGAGAAACTTGAGTTTATTTGCATTCCACCGTGAAAATTTGTTCGCTCGCAAAACGTTAAAGTTCTTCGCGAGTGAATGCAGAGTTTCTCGGGGTAACGCAAAAGTTTTGAGAGCAAATTCAAAGTTTCTCTGGGGAACGCAAAATATTTGTGAGAGAAGTAGGGCTGTCAAATCGCATAATAGCATCTAACATAAAAGTTTGTGTTTATATAATGGTTGTGTGTATATATATATATATTTATATATATATATATGTGTGTGTGTGTATTATAAAAACACAAACTTTTATGTTAGATGCGATTAATCGATTTGACAGCCCTAGATAGAACACTAAAGCATTGACAAACAATTTTTCCTCCCATCTCATATTTTTTCCATCACCATGTCCCTTTAAATAATTTCAATGTAATCTTTTATGTCCATTTATTTATTTTTCAGGTAATTGTGTATTGAGAGGGATGATGAGCAGTCAAACTAAAAACTGAAATAAAAATCAAGCTAACTAGAAAACAGTCTAATAAAAATGAGAAAACAAAAATATAAATGTATTTAAAAAAAATGAAACTGAAACTGAAAAAAAAAAAAAAAACAATTAAATTATATAAATAATACTAGAATAGCATTGGTTGTGACAGCATTTAAACCATTGATATTGTTTAATTTAGACAAAATAGTTGAGAATTTTTCTATTGCCTGTTTATTGGTATATTTATTGGTCAAAACTTTGCAACAACAGACTTTGAATATCGGTGCATCCCTATGATAGCGCCAGGTTAACTGTTCTTTGTCGCTTTTATAATCCTCTGTTTAAATGTATAACTTTATACAATCTTTCCTTGTTGACTATCATAAATTTGTCTCTCTGCATATTTTACTAAGTCAAGTCATGGTCACTGACCACAGCTTAAGTCCGTGAAATATGTGACCCATATCTACAGGGGATGACCTGAATGTGAAACACAGTCTTATCTGGTAGAATCTGCCTCTATGTTTGATGTTGACTCTAATCCACGAGGAACGTTTAGGGCAGGGCTGAGAAAGCAGATTTAACATCTGATTTGTGGGTTTGATGAAGGGTGTAGGTTCAAAGAATAGAGATCATATCTGTGCTGACCTAATTTCCTATATGATTGCTCGCAATGGAGGGAAAAAAAATGAGGTGAAGTCTGGGGGGAGTGATGCATGGACAGTGATCGTGACGGAGGGGGAAGTAAAGATTGATGTAAACAGACTCTCACACTGTTACAGTCAAATCAGTAGATGACCATATGGTTTCCTTGAGAGGAGAAGAGGGGGTGTATCCCTGTTTGGGGTTGAGAAAAAAAGAGGAGGGGTGTTAATGACCACTATCCCGGTCATAAAAGAGGGCGGGTCTTTATTTCGGATGAATGAACAAACAGATAAGTAGTGAGCCAGGCTTTGTTAAAGGGTCACATGAAAGAGTGAGAGGGGGCAGAGGGACTAGCATGGGCTAAGAACTTACATGGTCACATGGGATTTTGCTATCAATCTTGAGATTCATTAAAAACTTTATTTTAATTATTTACGAAGGATTAAGTTTTTGGAGTTAATGATTTATGAGTTTTCTGGGGGGTCGGTGATTTGTCTCGCTCTGAAATAGGCCATTCTTCCAGGTTGGCTAATATGGAATACGACATGTGCTGAGCGTTCAGGATCCCAACAGACAGCAGTAAAGCCTCCACCATCCAGGATTCTAATATGTTGCTCAAGAAGGTCCGATTTCAGGTTAGTTCCATTCGATTTCTGAAACCTAGTCACAAACTCTTAACAGTGATGTCAATAACCGGACACGTGCTTTTAGGTTTATGTATGATGTGTTGTGTGAATCTGAATGCATGGTTTCTGTTTTCTAGGTCTAGTTAAAAGTATGGTTTCCTCAATTTCTAGCATCTTTAAATATTTATATATTTGGAATTTCAGACAGGATAATGGAGAGATGTGATTTGTCTATATATATATATATATATATATATACTGTATATATCCTTTCATCAAAGTTTATACATTAATTTGAAAAAAATACCCGTTCTTGTCTTAGGACAACTTTGATTAACTTTTTTGATCCATTTCAAATATATATGTATATAAGTGTATTTGCATTTTATGTAATAATTTAATATACATCAATATATTACAAATTATACATAAAAAATTAACTAATGTATACTTGTATATAACTTATTATTACTACATTAATTAACACTTTATTTTAAGGTGAAGTAGTTATACTACATATACAACGTAATAACATTAAATGCATAATATTTGCATAATTACAAGTAACTAACCCTAAACCAAACCCTAACTCTACAGTAAGTACATGTAATTATTATTACTCTGTACTTATTTGAGTAAGCACTAAAATAAAGTGTAACCTTACATTATCATTCTAATTAAGAGCATAATTTGTCACTATTCACAATAGTGAAGTCAGTATGTGTCTTCTGCGCGCTGAACATACTTTAAAAGCCAGAAGCTGATTTACAGGTTTTAGGGCCTTAAGGTGCTGACTAAATAATCCCATTCTTACAGAGGCCACCTCAGGGATGTTTTCCCGCAGTAAAAGTGAGAGCGAGAGTTAAAATCTTCCACACCTGTCATAAGACCCTCCAGCTGCCCTGCTTTTCTTTCACTGTGGTGACAAGCCTTTGAGCTGGACCTTTAACATGTGAAACACAGGAGGAAATTAGATGCATTCTGAGTGAGCATGAGGAATTTCCTAGGAAGAACCAGAACAAACAGCAGTCTTGCTGTCCTAGGAGTTGGGTGCTTCTGTTACAGGTTTATTTGACACTTATATGTTATGTAAGGATAGGGGGAAGAGTAAAGTTGGCCACATTTAAGCTGTATTTAAAATTTTAGGATAGGCTAATTAGTTACTTTCTAGATTATTTACATTAAGATTGCCGTATGGATTTGATAAGAGATAAGTTGTAGCTACTTACCTGGTCCATTTATTGGTATTGTCTTTTATAGAAGTGGTGATCAGTCACTAGATGGCACTGTTGTCATGCTGTATTTGCTGGCACAGTTTGCATATAGCCTAGCTTTTGATTGTGAAAATTTGTATTTTGAATCGTTCAATCATCTAGGGCAGTGTCTCATATTATTTTACTAATTAAAAACAAACTAAGTCTTAAAGGGAAATTGCTCAAAATGAGTCTCACAGATGTTTATTATTGAACTCAATAGGCCTAAAATCGCTCTAAGCGAAGTTGTTTGTCTGCATAACAGTCAATCTCTTGCAAATTTTCGTGTTCTTATCAAACACAAGCAACTTAACCTGCTGATGTGTCAATTGTGAAGATCTTTTTAGTTCGGTATTTTTCTTGGTAGCTACATTAGCAATTTCATTCAGTGACTTTCAAAAGGCTTACCTTTTCTGTCAAATTTCTTTCCAAGCAGTTAGCTAACCGCCAAGACATTTGAAAACTTAAGTTTTTGTAACTGACAAAATAACTAGCCTACTCGTGTGTTTTTCCAATGTAGCCTAGCCTACTATCTGACACGGACACTATTGCCTACCATTGTGATATTATCTGTGAGCATCTTTTTTTAATCTTACTTTCGTGTTTATTGAAATGTTTGCAGATGCAACATTTACTTTAAGAAAAAGAAAAAAAAACTTGACATTTGGTTAATTCAAGCCTTAATTAACCCCCTCCTCCTCTTCTTCCTCCTCCTCGTCCTCCTCACAAGTTCACTTTCACAGTAAGTTCAAATAAATAGTGTTTCCCCAGGGACCTTATTGCATGATACCACATATAATATTTCTTAATTTGTATGGTGCTGTTGTAGATAAGCCTAAAAGCCAATTTAGTACACCACATAAGAAAAAATGAATCTGGATAAATCATAATTATGACATAAAAGTAAAACATATAATATACTAAGTCATAAATACATCATGACTTGCATCATTATGACTGGGCTATATTTAATTCTTTTTATGTCATAATTTCAACTTTTTATCTCATAATTATAATTAGAAAACCATAAAGAATTATGAAAGCATAAATAATAAATGATAATATTGAATAATAACAATTTTATTATAATAAATACATTTTATTTATATTGCGCTTTTCTCAAACCCAAAGCGCATAGGAGAATTTAAAATGATACATAAAAATAGTTAATAAAAAAAAATATGGCAGGAGAAGCGGCAGCCTAACATGCGCCAGCGTCCTCTCCAAAACCGGAAGTGAACGTATGTCTGAGCATTATATGGCGGGAATGGGTTAATTGGGATGCAGATAAGCACAAGACACAAATTGAAAAGTCATTTTGAAGAACTCTTCAGAAGTTCAGAGTAAATTCAGATGACACCACAAAACCCATACATTTGAATTACTTAATCTTCATCCAAAGTGACAAATAAACAAGTGAGACGAAAACCAACCCTTTTTTAAAGCATTTTTCATAATCCTCAAACATCAAGCTCTTTTTGGCTGGCTTAGAGCCAGCAGACCACTTCAAAACACTCGACGTGCCCCTCCTATTGGAAAGGGGATAAATTATGCTGTGAATCGAAACAGAGAAAGGAAAAGAGTCGAGCTTACAAATACAAACCGGTGAGAAATAGAGCGCACTCAGTTAGAGACATCAGCTGGAATGTGTCCTATTGGAGAGAAGCACCAGATCCTACAAGAGCATGCTTTTCTTTGGTGTAGTGCCAGTAAGAGTCAGGACTGACACAGGACTATACAAACAGTGACAAAAGCGGGACTGACCTCAGGTCTCCAGTGCTCTGGCACCTTCCCAAGAAACCCTCAGAAAGAGGAACAGCATTGTGGACGGATGCCACTGTCTTTTTGTGCACCTTCTGCAGAAAAGTGAGTTTCAGCCTTTCCTGAAATGGACTTATTTCTGCAGCAGGGGTCTCTGCAAGGTTAGTGAACAAGTGAGAAGTTCTTTGACTGAAAGAATGAGTGCTTTGTGTCAGGCTAGGAGTGGTTGACAGAACAGGAAGGCAGAACGAGTGAGAGGGGAAAGAGGGACAGTCACTGAGGGAGACGACTTTTGTCCCGTGCTGGGAAGGAGAATCTGCTGTGTGTCTGTGATGTTTGTGTTCGAACGTGTGCCAGGAAGAACCTCACAGCCCTCTACTATCCTCAAGACTCTATCCATCTTCATAATGTCTTGTCCATGAGGAACCATGTGTTTGCCTACTGAGGGTCTTGTTTCATAGGCTGCCAGAAAGTTCTTACAGGTAAGGTCTCCTGTACGGCTTATCAGAAACTTCACAGACTGTTTAAAAAAGTTGACTTGGTGGATGACAGCTTTATAACTGCTCAAGTGCAATTATTTTGTTTATTTTTGATTGTTTTGAATTTCAAAATGTGTCTGTTGTTGGATATTAAGAACTTGTGTAACACAATCTACTTTTTCAAGATATTAAAAATATTGAATCTCATGAAACCTGTCAATAACATAAAGTCCAATTTCTCCACAGTCAAAAGGAAAAATAAATAAATAATATATAAATTAAAAAAATTTTTTTAAAGAAGCTGACATTTTTAGGGCTGTTAAGAGTTTTTTTTATTATGCAAATTTATCTCATTTTTATTAAAATTTTTCCTTCAATTTTCATCAAATACTAATTCTTTTTTATTTTACTTTGGAGCTTTTTTGTTGTTATTTTCATTATTCTTAGTGGAAATTTTAATATCTTACATTTTTTTACTGTATTGCAATAAGAGATACTGTAATGCAATGTTTTTTTAATTACTAAAGACATTGAACTAAAGACAGCAAATACTAACATTAAGTATTAATATTCTCAATTAAATTTGCATTTTAATAATAAAGTGTTTTTGACATTACATGAATGACAATTTAAAATGGCAGGGGAAATTTGAAATGCTGTCATGAAAATAATGTCATAATGCAAGCAAAATCTTAAAATATAGGCTTCATTTTATGTATACAATCACTCTAAAAAATGTTGGGTTGTTTCAACCCACGTTTGGGTCAAATATGGACAAACACAATTGTTGGGTTTCAAAATGTAACTGTTGGTTTGTCCATATTTCAAACAACCCAGCATTTTTTTTAAGAGTGATATATAATTACTAATTTTGTCCTAATGTTGAGGTGAAATGACCTGGAAATGTTCTTGGCAGGATTTGTGAGATTCTGATCCAGAAATCTGGTCCAGTCAAATCAGCTGTGATCCAAACATAGGTTGTTAGTTTTAGAAAGCATTGATGTTTTAAAAAAAATATTAAACTATCATTCCATGTGGAATGTTGTTTTGCATAGCAGATATAGCATGAGGTTCTGAAAGTTTTTCACTGCCAAATGCAGGCAAAAGAAATGAGCTTTGTCCTTGTTTTTATCAGTGCTGAAGACACAACGTAGCCCACATTGTGAGAATCTCAGACTATAGCCACTGGCCTCGGGAAAACAACAGAAATAGTAAGAAAACAAGGAGGTGACGAGATCTGTGCCTGACCTTTCATTTACAAAGAGGAGAACAGATAGAAAGAGACTAGAAGCACCACACTGGAAGTGCCACGTTAGTAGCTCTCTCTCCTCTCCCACCCAAAACAGAGCAGTCCATTGAGCCAGTACAGAGAAACAGGCAGAGGGGGAGAGTGGGGTCTTTCCATGATCACTTTAGAGGGTCAGTGGTGAGTGAAAAATGCTTCACTGGTTTTGATAATCAAGCCTCTGTTGTCCAGGTCATCTCTGTTTCCAAAAAAAAGGGCTGAAAAATCACA